CAGAAAGAAATATTACCTATTGAACTTTGTCGTCTTTATCTAAATATATATTTTTGCAGATCTTTTGTCCGGATTTTCATGTTTGAATTTATTTTCCACAAATATTTTTCTTTAGTGATAAGCATGGTTCTTGAAATTTCACTTCTAATCATTTTTGAAAGAAATACCATGTGTTGAACTCGGTCGAAATGTTTATAGTGGACATTAATCTTGTCAAGATGTCATCTCCCCATGTTTTCAGATTCGAAAGCGTGTATGTTTTTTTTTTTTTTTTTTTTTTTTTTTTTTTTTTTTTTTTTTTTTTTTTTTAAGGAATATAAGGATTGTTCACTCAAAGAAAAACCCAGTTTACTGTCAGGTTGACAGTTTTCTCTGTGTTTAAAATATTTGTTATCCACTTGATGGCAGATAACTGAAGAAAATGTTTCTTCAAAATGGATGAGATAGAGAATGAAAAAAAAAACACATTGAAAATATATGAAACATTACACAATCCTAAACAAAAAATAACTTAAGTATATTCTCGTGCAGATTTCTTTCTTTGATGTTTAACTTTCATACTTTGGAATTATACTATTTTATTATTCGTATGATGGCAATATAAGAAAGAAATACTACTATTCATATGTACAACTTATCTTTCCTTTATACTTAAAAAAATCCCATTTGAGAATTGAAAATTATGAAAGCTTACAACTTTTTCATTGCAAAAAAAAAAATAATAAAAATAAATAAATAAATAAATAAATAAATAAATAAATAAATAACCTGATTTTTATATACCTCCTGTAGTCCAAATTTGTTACTTTGATTTATTATGTATAGTAAAAGTTTAATTTGATAAACTATAGGAAGTAGATTAATTTTTAGCTTTACAATCAGGGAAAAAATGATACTTTAACGCACAATAGTAAAAACTTAATTTGATTTTCTTTTGTGGAGACTTTATACTTTGACTTACTACAGTAATATGCTTTTGTTTGAGGCTTAATCCAATTAAACCTTAGGAAGGCAATTTTTTTCAATATTAAAAACCAATATAAAAACCTTCTTACAATCCATAGCATACATATGTTGAGTTACATTGTTTCTTTATCACGTACATGTACATGTACGTAGCGCGTAGCTCAGATTCCATTTTTTTTTTTTTTGGACGTATATGTGCAGCTACACGGACTAGTTTCTTTCTTGACATAATTTAAATATTTTAAGTAAAAAAAAACTTTTTTCAAAGATGTTTTACAATACTGGAGGTTATTTTTTTAATTTCTGTGGCATAACCAGCATCAATATTGCCACCTGTATTGGTTGTCAAATTATTTAGCTAAGGATCTGCATAACTACATTAGGAAGCATTAATAAGGATTAAAATGAGTAAGCAACATATTTATAAAAATCACCATTTAAGTTTTTAACGAAAAAGATCCCTGTGTTCTGGTAAAAGAAAACTAAGTCTGATATCTAGAACTATCTTTTAATTGATTTTTTAAAAAGAAATCTGTAATATTCTGTTGCTATGTTGTTGTCTACACTATTTTTAGCTCTTCTGAGCCAAAGACTCAAAGAGCTAATGCTATGACCATTTGTGCGGTGTGCATTAACATTTTTTTTTTTTGGAAAATGGGCCATATCTCAAGAACCCCTTAGTCATTTTTTTTTCAAATTTGTCACAGAGTATACTTGACCCAAGGACTTTCAATTATACGAAAACTAGGGATGGGACCTCCTTAAACAAGGGGAGATAACTAAGGAAATAAAAAAAAAAATAAGTGGTTGCTAAATCTTCTTCTCAAGAACCACTGAGCAGATTACCAAACTTATGTACAAGAATGAGGGTATTTTGTAGATTGAAATTTGCACAGGAATTGCCCTAAGGCAAAGGGCGTGGTCTCAAGGTCACTTCAAAGTTGACCAAAATTTACGTTTTGTTTAATCTTTTATATTTTGCCCACTATAAATCCTAGGATCATCAAATCTTGTCAGTTGATGCATCTTCGGACCTCATATCACGTTGACTCAAAAGTAGGTCACGGTGACCTACTTTTTGAATTTTGCAGGTATTCATTTTCATTTTAATTTTGATGCATAAATTGAATACTTTTAAGCCTATGATAATCGAAACTTGTCAGTTTATGCATCATGGGACCTTGAAGTATGTCAACCAAAAAGTAGGTCACCATGACCTACTTTCTGAATTTTATGGCTTATCATTTTCTAAGCACTAAAGGTCAGTATTTCAGATACTAACAGGTTTATAATCATCAAACGGTGTAAGCTAATGCACCTAGAGGCCTTAAAACAGATTTATGAAAAAGTAGGTCACAGTGGCGTACTTTTGGAATTTTACAGGTACATGTATTCATTTTCAAATTGCTTTAGGGGCATATTTTGGAAACTTTGAAGCATAGAATCATCAAACTTGTTCAGTTGATGCATTTGGAGTCTCGGAGTGTGTGAACCAAAAAGTAGGTCATCTTGACCTTTTTTGCAAATTTCAATTTAAATATTTCAGATACTAATTGGCTTAGAATCATCAAACTTTGTCAGTTGATGCACCTTGAGTCCTCAGAGTGTATCGACCAAAAAGTAGGTCACCGTGACCTACTTTTGCAATTTCATGGATTAATTTCAGTATTCACGTAATAATTGGCTTGGAATTACCAAACTTTGTCAGTTGATGCATCTTTGGTACCCAGAGTGTGTCAATCAAAGAGTAGGTCACCGTGACCTACTTTAGGAATTTGATGGCTAATTTCAGATAGTAATTGGCTTAGAATCAACAAACTATGTCAGTTGATGCATCTTGAGTCCTCAAAGTGTGTCAATAAAAAAGTAGGTTATTTTGACCTTCTCTTGGAATTTTTGGCTTTTTCGGTTACTAATTGGCTTTGAATCATCAAACTTTGTCAGTTGATGCATCTTAAGTCTTTGGAGTGTATCAACCAAAAAATAGATCAATGTGATCTACTTTTGCAATTTCATAGCTTAATTTAAATATTTCAAGTACTAATTGGCTTGGAATTATCAAACTTTGTCAGTTGATGCATTTTGGCTACCCGGTGTGTGTCAACTAAAACGTCGATCATCGTGAACTACTTTAGGAATTTGATGGCTATTTTAGACAGTTATTGGCTTAGAATCATCAAACTTGATGCATAATGAGTCCTCGGAGTGTATCAACCAAAAAGTAGGTTCCTGTGACGTACTTTTGCAACTTCATACCTAAAATTAAATATTTCACATACTAATTGGCTTGAAAGTATCAAACTTTGTCAATTGTTGCCATGCTGACCTAACTTTTGAATTTCAAGGTTTTATCCTTATATATAGGTTACCAAGAGGCTTAAAACAGATGAGATTATAGGTTGTACAATTTTCAGAAGAGCGATTCAAAGCCCTTGGACCTCTTGTTTCCTAATTGTTGTTGTTGTTGTGCATTGTCTTAATTTGATTTTTTTAAATGAAAGTACTACTTACAGTAACATGAAAGTACTTCTTACAGTAACAACGTCATCGCTTTTTCGCATACTTCTTACCAAAAATGCTTTCTAATTCATATCTCGTAAAATGTTACAAAACAATGTTTCTCCACATCACATGATGTAAAGGTAAATGCGTCAATATAGGATTGACTATATAAATTATTTTGTTCATTGAGAAATGATTCTAAAACAACGAATCGCACACTTTATGAAAGCCGAAAACAGCAGGCAGAAACTTGCTTTGTTGCATGTCAGTAAGCAAACGGTCAACAATAATACGTCGAGTGGAGTGCAGTGGCATATTAAAAATATGATTTAACCAGATATCTTCTGGTTAAAAAAAATCTAGAAATAAACTTGCTTGTCTATACACCTTAATACACGTACAACTTGATTTACAGTTAACATGGTTAATACCCTGTATAAAGTTGATGTGCAGACGAAATAAGTGAGAATGTGAGAATAACACTCACATCAGGAAAATTTAGTCTAAGGTCTTCCTTATTATTCAATGTTTATAACCTACATAATAATCTTTCTCTAGTTTGGTTTTCAGTTTGTACTAAATTCAATGTAAATTGTTACTTGTTACAAATAAAAAACGCAAAACACGTGCTTCTTTACAGAGTTATATCCCTTGCCATTCCCAAAATTAGTCATTGACAGCAATTACCTCGCTTAATAATTTATTTGAATATTTTTCTTTTCTCTACTCAACAAGAATTTTTATTATATACATGTAATTCAAAAATAGAAATACATGATTAAAATATTTCCTTTAAAGCATACATAGAGAAACAAAATATTTACAGAAGCTGAATTTAAATCATGAAAAGAATATAATCACTCGATAGAGAGAGTATTAGTTTATAACACATTCGCATTCTTACAGTTATTGAAGAGACTTTAACACTGACAATCGTTGTATCACAACGTACAGGGAAAATAGTTCGGTTACTACTGCTCACATTACATTCGTCGGAAAATGAACAAAAATAATTCTCCGTAGAAATACATTGGTTCAAAGTGATGAAAGTAAGGAAATTGAATTATTCAGTCATTAATTAATTTAGTTATAATCTAGATCAGCTTGCAAATATCTTTTCAATATAATACAGTCAGCCTTAACCATATTTATGTCATGATTAACTATTTTTAAAATATACTTGCAGATTATAAAACTTTATGCCAAAGTCATTAACATTAAAATGTAAAAGTTGAAGATTTTCAAGCAAAAAAGTATCGCACAAGTATATTGACATTTAAGTTTCGGTGTGTATATTTAATCTTGAATTGTATTAAAACACTTTCATACAAGTGTAAGTTGCATATGGTTTACCCATAATAAAGGCCCTGCAATTCTCTGAATAAAAATAATTTTGGTACATGTAGAAAATCAATTTCTCGAAAGTTTTTTTTATTATTGTTTTGTGTCTTAGAATTTTCTGATGCTTACAAATAAATTAAATGAAAAAAAAATCTTTCCTTGGTTTAAGAAGTAAAACCGTAAACTTAATATTAGATACCTTTTACTGATTTTGTATCATCACATATATCAAATATTTCCTCATGCACCTCCAATCCTTCAGTAGATTTTACTTCTTTAATTTCTTCTTCACTACAACCAAGCAGTCGTTTAAGTAGCGTTGTTTTCCCCGCCCCAGCACATCCTACGATCATCCCCCGGGCATGGTGGATCGTCTGTGTTCCTCTCTTAGCGTACTCCACATACCGCTCTCTGGCCTCCTGGTCCCAATCTAGTATTTCTTCTGGTACACCCACTGAAATCAACAGTTATGAAGAATAAATCAATAATTCACAAAAGGAATAATACATGTTTTTATGCCCAAGGATCGAAAGATCCCGGGGGTATATTGTTTTTGTCCTGTTTGTCTGTTTGTCTGTTTGTCTGTTGTCAACTTTAACCTTGCCCATAACTTTTGATTGGTTGGAGCTATGACTTTCATATTTCACATGTGTATTTCTTGTGACAAGACCTTTCTTTAAGTACCATCATATTTGACCTTTTGACCTTGACCTTGGAGTTTGACCCACTTTTGCAAAATTTTATAAGACTTTAACCTTGGCCATAGCTTCTGATCAGTTGGTGCTTCGGGCTTCATACTTCACATATGTATTCTTTGTGACAAGGTCTTCCTTTGGATACCAACAACTTTGACCTTTTGACCTTGACCTTGGAATTTGATCTACTTTTGAAAAACTTTAACCTTGGCCATAACTTTTGAACAGTTGGCGCTTGGGGTTTCAAACTTTACATTTGTATTCCTTGTGACACGACCTTCCTCTGGACATCAATCTCTTTGACCCTTTTACCTTAACCTAGGAGTTTGACCTACTTTTGAAAAACTTGAACCTTGGCCATAACTTTTAAACGGTTAGAGCTAGGGCTTTCATACTTCATTACGTAATCCTTGTGACAAGACCTTCCTTTGGATACCAACCATTTTGATCTTTTGACCTTGGCCTAGGAGTTTGACCTACTTTTGAAAAACCTTAACCTTTGCCATAATTTTTGAATGGCTGGTGCTAGGGCTTTCATACTTTACATATGTAATCCTTGTGAAAAGACCTTCCTTTGGATACCAACAACTTTGACCTTGACCTTGATGTTTTACTTACTTTTAAAAAAACTTTAACCTTCGCCATAACTTTTGAACAGGTTCAGCTAGGGCTTTCAAATTTAAAATTTTTTTTAATCTTTTGGCCTGGATTTTGACTTGCATTTGAGAAACTTTAACCTTCGCCATACGCTGCCATACGGGGGCATCAGTGTTTCACAAACACATCTTGTTTACTTCTGTTTCCAGGGGGAAATTCTAGAATTGAACACTTTATGCTCTCCAACATCAGTTTTCACATGAACACAAATAATAAGAGCCTCAAAAAGATAAAAGGCTACTTTTAACCTTCTCGATAACTTCATTTTAATTGCTGTAGAGATTGATTTCCTTTTTAACTCTGTTCACATATTCTATGGAATGATAACATCGCTTTTCTTTTGTATCCCAACCGCCCCTTTTGGGTTTTTTATTCTGTTTGTCTTTTTGTTTTTATTTTCTTTTATTATTATTAATTTTTTGGTCTTCTTTAAGAACGACTCTATTCCTTTTTAAATGTAATGAAAATGTTTCCGCCTCCACAAGAGAGAAAAGGATGATAATGTCCAAAGGTTGATGGACGATTACAGACGACAGACTGGATTCAATAGCTTACCGACTCAGGTTTCATAATGAAAATAAGGTTGATATTTTATTATTCGTGAGGCAAACATAGATTGTCAAGAAATAAAAATCCTGATGAATGGGGCCAATGTCTGGACAACGTTTGATTCTTTTTATATATTTTAGAGATATTTCTTCTTTGGTTGAGACTTACATGGATTTTCAAAAGAGGATAATATATACATCGTACACTGTTTTTTTTAATATACAGTGCTTTTGGACTCTTTTGTCCATTTCCCTTCAAAATGAAATACTTTATGCTTCAGGTTTAAGCATTATTTTTAATGGAATTATAGATAATTTTGTCAGAAAAATGAACAATGTATTTTACTGTCAGAGAATCTTATTTGTTAAATATATACAATTTTCATACCACTGTACTTACAGTGTTTTACACCACATGCGAACTTGTGGAAAATTTATTTAACGAAAACCAAGGGAAGATAAAAAGGAAAAATTTATATTTTCAAGAATGATGTTAGTTCAGAAACATCATAATACAGTCAACTTCAGAATGTTCACAAACGAACACACGCACAAACGTTTTGATAACTCGGAATAATTAAGAGTGAAATCAATATTTTCTTTCTTGTTTTGATGACGGAATATCCTGTGCATTTAATGTTCACTTCCACGATTGTCCTTCATGCAAGACTGATTATTTCTCAAAAGAAGTACGACATTCACTCAAAATGACACTTTTACGCATGTACATGTATGATACATAGAGGTCGGATACTTTAGGACAGAGGTATGACACTTATTCTTTAAATCAACATCAATTTCATCAAATCTACTATGATGTGATACTAGAAAAAAGTGAAAAGCAGGTTTGACAACAAGTTTTCTATATCTTCAAAAGGGAAGTTAAAGCTAATGATGTTGACATAAAGGATGTCGTTCCCTTTCTCACTGATATTCATTGATCTTCAATTTATTTATGTGCATAAACATGAACAGTATGAAAGGAATGGTGATGTTGAGGCATTATCTTGTACTATAAACAAACGTAAGTTTGAATTGTATGTATTCATGGCAAAACATCGCATATATTTACTTAAAGAATTTTCTCCATCTTCGTCTCATTCATTCACGATTTCGAAAATATTCATTATGGGGGGTGGGGGGTAAAAATGCCGAAATATAGTATATTATAAAAGGCGCCTTCTTATGGTGTGATCCGTTAAAAATACATGTGATGAACATCTTTGCATGTCAAGGAATATTTGCTTGGTAGTGTCTCCCACCTCCCCGCCCCCCCCCCCCCCCAATAAAAAAAAAAACAAAACAAAAAAACATGAAAATGTTTGGTTGTGCCCAACCACACACCATACCAAAACTGAAAACTGATTCATTAGGGATTGAACATACAATCTGAATGAACAAAAACAAGCATGTTGTTTATTTGGTATCCGATACCTCTGTATCCGGTCTTATATAGAGAAGATTAAGGATCATTCATCGATCACAGAAAGTGCTTATAAGAAATATAAATAAATCGAAAATAGTAACGGACACTTGAATTGTTAAACGTAATACATGTACATTATGTTGGAAAAGAAGATTAAGTCTCTTTAAGGCCGGTTTACACGGTAATACCTGTCGTATACAACTTGTCGTTTACTTTTGTAATATATTCCTTATATGTCTACACGGTAAAACAGGTTTACATTCCACTCTTTTGTTATTTAAACAAACAAAACGCCCCTTTGAAGAAGTACAGTTTTTTTTTTTTCATTTTGTTGACATGATGGAAGAACAGGAAGAGGAAGATAGTTATCTTAATGTGCATTTGGATAATTTCATTTCCACTCGCTGTTGTGCCAGCAAAGAAGATCTAGAGGAAGGCCACGGGTCAGACAATGGATCGGGAGGGGAGTGATCACTATGGTGCATATCAGAACCACTTTTTAAATTCTAGAAATTTTCTGCGAATGGATATATGGCAAATTTTGATGATCTTCTGGACGCAGTATCCCCGGCCATTTATAAAGAAGCCGGACACATTAATGAGAAATTCAATTTCAGCAGCAGAACGTTTACTCTTACACTGCGTAAATTTTTTGACCACCGGTCAAATATAAAATTAATCGTCTATTTGAAATATATTTAAGAAGGAATGCTACACTAAAATTTATTTGATGGATCTTCAAAACATCAATTTTAAACTAATTAGATTTTAGCATTGAAAGATTGATATTCGATCGCTCTTAATTATTTGATACGATTTGTTTCAAATTTATTCAGCGAAAATGTTAAAAAAAATTACATTTTAAATTTGAACAAGCCATAACGTATAAAAATGTTGAAATATTCTTTTAAAATATTGAATTGGTCAGTAAAGCATAAATAGATCACCCAAATCCCAGACCACTGATTGGCCAAAGATAGAGAGTCTCATACGACTTGCTGTACAGAATAAGAGACACGCTCTATTCGAACGCGTGGAATATATGACTCCGGGAAGGTTTAAATTCCGTGTAATAGCCCCGTACACACGGTAGCATTTTGATGTATATGACAAGGTTTATACAGCTTGCTTTACCGTGTAAACCGGCCTTTATATGCAGTACACTGCACTTCTGTATAATTTCTGACACATAAGACAAACCACTGTATTAAATGGTACTGATCCTGGGATGATAGCCGACTACTGGAATGACAGGCCCTCGAGCCTCTTCATTGAAACTGAATGAACAAGAATGAAAAAATGTTTATTTTGTACCCGATATTTCTATATCCGGTCTGATATAGAGAAGATTAAGGACCATTCATGTACCACAAAACGTGCTTTTAAGACCGTGGATAAATACATGTGTATATCGAAAATGGTACAGGACACTTGATCCGATAATCTTTATACATGTACACTAGTTATTTTTGAAATAAATATTTAAGTCACTTGGAAATCCCGTTAATGTAATACAAGTATATCAGTGCATACAATTTTAAATGCAGGGAAAGACTGTACTGAATTCTTTCTGACACATGAGACAAGCCATTATGTACAATAGATACTTTTGCTAGATATCCTGGGATAGTAGCCGACCAGTGGGATGAAAGGGGATAGCTTATTTTTATTTTATCTACATAAATAATCAGTGTAGTCTAACTGGAATGTCCCCTTCAAACACAGACACACACGCACAAAAGAACCCTTTCAAATGTTCAGTGCTCTCGCCACTAGCATAAAGGACAAGATAGGCTAAGATCCCTTTTTGGCCCCTGGTTTGGGATGTATTTTAGAATGATGCTACAATTTATCAATAGAAACCTGTTGTTACCCCTTCCACAAAATGAGTATTGGTTCTAAGTTATGGGATACACGGAGGTTACAGGAAGGTCAGAAAATATGTCAATTTCCAAATTTTCTCATTTTTATGTAAATTTTCATCGATTTTACTGCACATTGTGTTTAAGAAAACATAGAGCACAACCTTGCCTATCTACCAAATTTACATATCTCATACACTAGTATCAGATGTGTCTTATGTATAAAAATCTCAGATAGGCAAGCTTGTACTCTATGTTTCCCGAAGTGAAAAGTATCTCAAAATTGACGAAATTCCACCAGAATTGAGGAAATTCGGGAAAATGACCTACTTCTGCACCCTCTTGTGGCCTCTGTGTAAGCTTTGAATCAAAATTAGTGCTGGTTTTAAAACAAGCATTATTTTAAGTTCTTAACTACGAACTATCACAATTTTAACTGTGTTCTGATTTTTACATCAAATAAGGGGCCAGATTCGGCCGTTACCGTACCTTGTCCTTTAAACTTTGGTCTTGATTGGGTATACTGTTCTTGTTTACCAATATGCACAAATGGGAAATTTAAGAGCTACTAAAATTTCTCCTTTTAGAACCAGAAGAGATTAGGAAAAGTTGCTCTATCTTGTATTTTAATTTTAATCATTCTGTTTAGAACGACATTAATAAAAAAAATTAAACTTCAACGCCGGGTCTTTTATGGCAAATATCATGCACGCCGTCTTTTTTTCTATTTGAGAACAGAAAATTAACATCCACTCATGAAATTCTGACAGGCTTTCTACCTTGATCTCCATATGAAATACATATTTAAAGAAAAGGGGTTAGAAGCCTTTCCTTAAGTGTGCTAGAGATGTAGCTGGATTTCCCATAAATAAAATTGAATGGAGTTGTTGATTTGAAAGAAAGGTTCATTTTACCTCAGGAACTGAAAGAACTTTTTTATATTTACAGTTATTTATTATAGCTAGTATTATATATTCTCTCTGGAGTTTATAACGTGAAAAATATATACTTCTAGAAATAATAATAAAACAATTAATAACTTGTTGGAAAGAATTGTGCTTATATTATACATTTTTCTCAGAATTCTGATATATACGTTATACAATTTAAGTTGATATGATTTTTAAAACAAAAATATATAAACCGTTTCAAAATAATTTAAATGATTTAGTTACACGTTCTGTGAATAAAAATGACATTGAATTATACTGATTGCTTGTGCTCAAACATAGATGCATTACATTTACAGAGAAATAATACTCACAACGTTTACTGATCCTGCCATGAAACCCCCAGTCAGACATGGTACAGTGTGTGATGATGTCCAGCTGTAGTTTGTCTATGAAGAGGTCGTACATCTTCTCCGGCCACTTCGGTACATAAAGACATCTCTCTCCCTCACTCCTCTCATAATCCCAGGACCTGAAGTATTCTGATATCACATCATGTGACGCCGTGGACAGGAAAAACTCCACATCACTGTCCTCCACTAAACACTCCGTCACAAAGGAGTACATAAGGTCATGTCGGAAATCCTCTGATATAAAGGTCATCACACCGTTATGTGTTTCTGTGATTCCAGCAGGAGGATCCATAAAGCCATCATCAGTGATATCAGGGAAATATCTGTCTCTGATTTTGTCCCTTGTGATTCTGTGTGATTGTTCATTGAGATTCAGCTGATATTTTTCAGTTAACAGTAAACAGTACAGTACACATCTGACTTCTGGTGAATAGTTATGGTGTTTACCTGAAATTATGAAATTTAAACATTAAAAAAAAATTAAAAGGTTTAAAGTCATACATAAGCAAAATATTATTTACCTTTCATTCCATATCATCATACAATATCTTTATTTTTCAACTGAATATAAATGGCACTAGACTCAAGCTCTTGTTATTTGTACTAATATCTGAAGGCAAAACTTGTCAGTAGCGGATGATCCATGCGGATTAGGTGAGGGGGTATATAATTTATATAGTGAATAAACCAACAAATAATCAATCAACCTACCCCCATCCCAACCCGGATATAAGAATTCCCTGTAAAGTTAATAGGGAAATATAACGGACGATCGATTAAAACTGTCTTTTTGGATTTATATTTTATTAAAATTGTACGAAGTATACGTATAAACCTAAGACGGTTTATCAAAATCCCAAACCGATACACGGAATGATTTGAATCCGTAATCGGACTACCTCCATTACCCTGATCTCTCTCCTCCTATCCCTCCACATAGAGAGAAATGGAGGGTGCTTATCTTGTAGTTTTGCTAGACCTATAAATTATTATAATTTATAAATGACAGCAGAGTGTAATTGTCAACTGGTGAGTTCTCACTTTATACAGCTTTAACTAGAAGTTACCAGAAATTCTATTCATTATTAGGCCAAAGAAAATAATAGTCTTGTTTCCTGCTACGAGCCTGAAAAATTAGATAGGTAGGTAGGAAAATTATTTATTTTATTTTTTTTCCGATTGCAGTTTTTGGATATGAACTAATATAAGACCTAATTAAATATGTCACAGGTCAATATTGTTTTTAAATCGCCCTCGTGGCACAGTGGTTAGAGCGTCTGCTCTAGAGTCGCGAAGTAAGGAGTTGATCCTTACGTCGCGGGTTCGAATCCCTCTGTGGGAAGTGGAGACCGGTCCTTCGGATGAGACCGTATAAACCGAGGTCTCGTGTCGCAGTAGGTGCTGGCACGAAAAAGATCCATCACTGCTCAATGGCCGTAAGTGCCGAGTAGAGGACAAAATTTGCAGCTCTCCACCGGCAAGTGGTGGCGTCTCCATGCATATGAGTGAAAAATTCTCGAGAGGGACGTTAAACAACATACAATCAATCAATCAATCAATCAATCTTTTAAAATTATATTCATGTCTTTTGATGCATAACTCAAGTGGTATTTTATGAAAGTCCATATCTAAAACAGAGAATTTCATGAAATGATTGTTTTTTATTAACACGGAAACCGATTAAGTGACAGAACGATGAAATTCCGGGAATTCCCGATTTTAAAACTTTATGGTCGGGCGCAAAAAAAAATAGGGTCGGTCGGGTAGCAGAAAACAGGGTTATTATTTTTTTTTCGGCCTTATACACCAATTTACCGGCTATAAGGACAATAGCATTATCTCCCAAGCCAGGAATTATTTCCCGAGGCGCCGCCGATAAACTTGATAGTGTCCCAATAGTCAGTAAGTAGGTGTTTTATTATACCGAAGCCGACTTTACTTGACGTAGAACGTCACGATCCGGATAAAAGCATATGAGTTCCGAGATGAAAAGCGAGGGAAATGGAATGCTGCCGGTGAATAGTTTGATGACTATTTCACCATGGGCATATACACTGTCGTGTATCCGCGCCGGTTGTGACATGTTTGGATGCAGTGAAAATGGCGTAAAATGTACAAACGGCGAATTCTGTGTACCATTTCCCGGTCAATATTTCGGTAAATATTAAATCATTTATTCGTTTTTGATCGAAATTTTACAGACATTTTGTTTATCAATATGATGTGTTTTACTTTTGTTTAAATAATATATTTAAAATCTGAAGCGGACAAAATAAAGGAAAATCATTTTACGAATAAGGCATTGAAAGTTTAATTTGTTTTCCATACAAAAAAAAATGTATAAAAACGCGTTTCATTTTATGTATCCGTAACAAATATATTACAGTTTGGATAATGAGGATGTTCTGGTTTGGATGCAAATTCAACATTTTGATGTTACGGTTTGGACAGTCTATATTTTCAAATTTCTAGATCTTGTAGACAAATGCGAACCAATTTGCTTGTTCAAGATGCACTTAAATGGAGAAAAATGCCGTATATATGATGATATAATTACTAGTATCATAGAACTTTATACAGACAAAATACATGTAGATTTTTTTACTTTTGATTTAATATACAAATGTTCACTCCCCCCCCCCCCCCCGCATGATTTTTAAGGAAAACTGTCTATTATTTTCCAGCCGTCCCCCTTTTTTTTCAAAAGCGATGCTTCGTGCCTGATAACATTAAGAAACATACAAGATTAGTGTTTAGTCAGATTGAAATAAAAATGAATATATTTATATAAAGTGTACCCCGTATATTTCTCTATATCTCATTTAAAATTCATATTTCTTTCTTACTCTCTCTTTCAAAATTATTGGGCGACAACCGCCGCCCATGCCGTCTCTTTGCCGACGCACGGTAAACAATGAGTTACAAAGAAGTCGTTGACCGACTCTTAACTTGATGACAACCCCCCCCCCCCTTTCTAAAAAAACGATACTACGTGTATGACTTCATTTAAAAAAGGCATGAAAAATAACATGTTTTGAAAGTCAGACAGAAAAAATATAATTTACTGAGTGTATTCCATCAACGGTGACTTATCAAAAAGGAAGTCGTAGACTGCCTTAAACTGGATGAACCTGGTCATTCCTGCCTTCCTGCCAGACAATATACAAGAACGCAATGATTGTGACAAAAAAGATCACTAAAGAAATGATATCTGTTTAGTTTCACAACAAAAATTGATGTTTGGCCATTCAAGCTACAAAAGCAATCGGAACGTCCCGGCTGATTCGTACGAGTTTAATGTTTGATGATCATGAAGGTGACAGAATCGTCCGAAGTCTGCCGAATGTCACATAATTTGGTGAAGAATGAGAAAATGTAACTTTACAATACAATAAAAGTTCTAAAAATGATTGTTTGTGGCATGTACATGATCATTAAGTTACAGTCCTATCAATGAAATGAAAGAAATTTTCCAAAACATTCAAAAGCTAGAGTATGGGAATTTTTGTAGCTTACATTTACCAAGATTTGTTCTTAATAAAGAAAAGTGGAAAAATTACCTTTGACAAATATTTCATTTACACTTTTTTGTCCCCTGCTTTCACTGAAAGTGGGGGTATTAATTTCGGTCTGTCTGTCCATCCGTCCGTCTGTAACACTTTCGTTTCCGCGCGATATCTCGACAAGCTTTAGAGCCTTTTCATGAAAGAACGAGTGCACTTATGGGCCCCGGTAAAATGTTAGACAATGAAGAATCAAATTAAGCATAATTTTTCATCTCTGATTATTAATTGATATCTAAACCATCAGACTGAACAAATTTTATCGGTGAAATTCATGAATATACAAAGAGCAAGGCCATACAATGTGGTAGGGGTCAGCCGACATTCGTGATTTTCTATAGTAAATCGAGGACGGTCATTCAATTCAACAGTTCAAAACTTTTGTTTACTGTCAGCCTAACGTCGTACAAACTTGTGCGAATGACAAAAACGCATTATACATTTATAAAACTTGTGTGAAAGTAGGAAATTTGTACAAGATTAGGCTTGTACTTAAAATATTAAAAATATATGAAAAGTTCAATGTTTTTTCCTATAGCAAGCGAGAGCTTTTAACCTGTATGACCTTTGTTGAACCCACCCGTGGAATAAATTATTTAAAATACCGGTAGTCACGTGAGTTCTACACAGGTAAACATTCCTCAAAGGTGCTCACTGTAAAAGATAGCCACGTGCCGCATAGAGAAGTTTGTATGTATTTGGTTTTAGGAACACGGGAGGGTTAGGAGAGTTTAGTGTCGTTAAAATGTCATCATACATAGAAGCGTCAAACATTTCAAACATTCATGCAAGACAATGGTACCGGTATTGAAAGTCACCTAAATACACTTTTTCTCATTTTAAAATTTAAATGGAACTAGTGTTAATACTAATTGTATTATTTCAAATGCAAGCGTGCAAATTTCTTAGTTTGATCACTATGGCTACAGGCATCTATACAACTTCATTCGATTCTTTTTCTCAGGTAGAATAGCACAAGAAATATCATTCGGAAAACGCGCCCGTCAATGATCCACCATCAGTCATGATCAGATTGTTCAAGTGTCCGATTTAAATGTCTCCCTTGATTTAAATTAACGAAACTCAAAACAGGTTTGGTATGATTTTCCAGATTTGGTGTATCTATAGGCATTTAAAAATCTTCATTTGTTTCAAATCCATGCTGATTTAGGTGTTGTTTTAACGTGATTTTAATTAGAAATATCCACTTGTGTTTTACTATTACCAAAAAAGAACAATTTGGTAATATATTCTAAAGTAAAACGGCAATGAAAAAGGGCCCATTAAGCATTGCTTAAGTGCACTTGGCCTTTTACACAACAACTCCCTATGGCCTAAGGAATACCCCTATTGATTTGGGGGTCAAAAGGTCAAGGTCATAAATTATGTTTGTTTTTTACACTTTCGTGTCAACGCGACATCTCGAGAATCCTTGGAGCTTTTGAAATGATGGCCTAAAGAAGACTCCTATTTATTTTGAGGTCAAAATGTCAAAGGTCAAGGTCGTTTATTCATATATTCTGTTTATGTGTAATATCTCAGGAAGCTTTTGAGTTTATGCAATTAAATTTTATGCCATATCTCCCTATGGCTCCATCCGTCCTTCTTAAAGTGTCTACCACCCCCACCCCCCGCCCCTAGATGTCCGCAAGCTCTTCTTTTTTCCTTAAGCGGAGGACACAGATTCTCTAAATTGGCTAGTTTTTAATGCATTTGGATAGTGTTTCTAACAAATATTTAGTGAAGACAAAGCTTCATATTATAAAGCAGTTTTGAATGCTAGGATGTCGTTGTCTTACTTTTTAACATTTTTTTTTAATTTTAGTAATTGTTTTCAAAAACTCGAACAAGAACATTTATTATTTCTGGAATTTATATTTACATACTAAATACTGGTATTTTAATTCCTGTATCACGATACGTATTTCATAATCACATTCCGGTTTACGGAAATAATCGCTCATCTTTACCCCCCCCCCCCCCCCCCCCCCGCTTAAGGGAAAAAATGGATCCCTTCATTGTAGTAACCGCTAAATGATAAAACGCCGCTTAATGATAGAAATATCATTAAGCGTTGCAATTACAACGCTTAAAAGATCAACTCTAAATGCCATAAATTATTGCATTAATAGTTGGCATTCTCAACCGCTAACGCTAAATCGCCGATTAATGATAGAATTGAGAATGTCAACTATTAATGCAATAATTTATGACATTAAGCGTTGCATTGTAAAGCTTAATGATATTTCAATCATAATAAGCTGCGTTTTATTATTAGCGGTTGCTACACCACATGTAATTGCAATCAACCGTCCCAAATTTTATCTGGTAAGTTATATAAAGTGCATGTGCACTTAAACATAAAAGCATTGCAATTATAGACAGGATCTCATTATCTATTTTAAAGTAGAGCTGCAGGCACGTAGTATCAGGGGGCAGGGCCTGCCCCCCCCCTTTTTTTCCAAACACAACTTTTTTTCTATTGAAAATGTACCTTGAAAGGCTGCCCCCCCCCCCATTTTTTTTGTATAGACAAATAAGTGTAATGTAGTAATATATGAAAAAGATTGGGACGGAAAGAAGTTCGACTACCCCCCCCCCCCCCTTCGAATTAGGATTTTCGAGTTTGGACAGGGTTCGAGATTGAACAAAACAAATACCCGTTTTTTCAGGTAAGTTGAATTTTTTTCTCTCTGGCTCTCTCTCCCCCCCCCCCCCCCACTTTCAAAAACGATGCTACGTCACTGTGCTTGGGGAGTAAAATGTTAAGAGGGAATTCCATATTCATGAAAAACTTACTTAGGATGGTGAATATTTTGGGAGGGGGGGGGGGCTCAGTGACCATATTTAAGCTTTTAGAGCTATTCATTCTCAGGAAACCTTATTGTGACTGGGGTTGCATGATCGATACATTTAGGGATATAGTCTACACTGAGGAAAAAAAACGCAAAGTTCCCTGTTTAAGGTACACTTTGTTTAATTATCGATGTCGGACAATAAAAAATTATCTCCCACCATCCCCCACCGTAAGGAAAATAAAGTTGGTCAGTATTTTGCAGAATAAGGTCTAGTTTCACGTTTAGTGCACAGGGGCTTGCTCCCGGCGTGTAATAATTATTTTTTTTAAAAATTCATATAGTACGGTAATACTGTTGCTTTAGTATTACCGTATATGATTTTTTAATTAATAAATAATTATCACACGCCGGGAGCAAGCCCCTGTGGTTTAGTGTGCACTTTTTTGTTTTTATTTATCGAAGTCGTACAACTAAAACTTATGTGCCCCCACTACTTCCGGTGAATACTGTAAAAAACCTAAAGGAAAATGAATAAAACATTTCAATTATATTAATTTTCTTACTTGGTTTTCTGTAAGCTTTGTTGTCGATGATGTAAATGTCATTGTGTGGATGGAGACCTATACAGGATCTCACAATGTCAGCAGGTCTCCTGTATCTCCAGAGCCACGTCACGTGATCTACACTGTCCTGTGATCTTCCTCTGTAATGTACAGCCTCCCCTCCTCTTCTTAGATCCATTAGAAATTCTTCTCTTTTATCTTCAATCTCCTTTAGTATTTGGTTTGAAACATTCACTGTAGAAGAAGACGATACTGTCACAGTGTTAAATTCATTACTTCAACTAAAATAAAATTAAGTATAAATATACATGAAGGTACATTTAATATCCGACGAAGTCGATTAAAATGATTTAATCACCATTTACCAATTAAATTCACAATATTTTTACATGTACATCTATCTACAGTGTGTAGCAGCAGTATAAAAAACCTATGAAGTAAATATAATAGTCAATATCTAAGGAATCATATCATGAAATATTTAGAGTAATGCTGACTTTGTCTTATTTATAAATATATCAATCTGCAAAATTCAGTTAATTACTTGAAACATTTTCTGTATTTGGAAAATAAATAAATTCCTTTACACTGACTTACATATCTGGTTTATCCCATCATATATATCCGTGTCCTCCATGGTGACGTGAGTCAGTATGTTCATCTGTAGACGGTGTATCAGTAAGTAATCATAGTAACCAGCACTCAGTAAGTAATCAGAGTAAGCAGTAATCAGTGAGAAATCAGAGTAACCACCACCACAGACACACTTCTCTCCAGGTTTTCTGTTGTATCTCCGTGATCTCAGGTACACACTGGCTGTGTCATAACTACTGTAAAGGAATGGTATATAAGTCTTTATTGATGCTATCCTATACATTGTCTCATCCTTTGTGTCCTCCGTTATCTTGTCTTGATCTTCCCAAAGGTAATCACGTGACTTCAGTCTGTCCAGAGTCTGCTGTGCTTCCTCACTTGTTACAGGATTCTCTTTATCGTACACTCTCTGTCGTATCTCATTAAGCATGTCCAGCCACTCTGTGTTAGTGAAATCAGGAGGACCGGAGTCAGAACACAGAAAACAATATAACACGGATACCTTGTCATCAGTTAATGTGGAGAACTGATCTAGAATATAATGAGTAACTCAATATGAAATGATACATGTACATATATATAGTTTAAAGGCCCTAGATTATTTTATTGAAATTACTGAGTGAATACTTTTTGGGGGGTGGCTCTTATAACTCACCTCTTGTTTTTTACTTAGAATAAAATTAAGAGTTGCCTTAAAAATTTTTCTGGTGATCAGAAAGTTGTACTATTGTAGAGGCCAGATTAAATTAAAAGTGTTTGAAATCACAAGTGAAGGCCAGTACAATTTATCAAACTGTTTAGATCTCTCTCAAGCAGTTAAATTGAATTAAAGATTTTTTTTTGATAGAATAACTAATTGTTGCAGATTCGATGCATATATATTATCTAAAGAACGAGCTCGAGGTTAACAATCTTTTTTATGCAATATGGCAGAGTCCTTGCATTTAATTGTAAAAACGGAGTTTTCAGAAAATGAAGAGTGTGACTGGAAATCTCTACAACCCCAGCCCCCCTTTCCCCTTTCATCATTTTCATTTTGAAATTCAGATTTGTTAAACTGCCTCTTTTAATTATTGTCGGCTTTTCAGCATTGTAAAACACATCTACATCTATGTGCCTGTCAAGGGGGGGGGGGGGGGGGAGGTATTTAAAACAGTGGCGTGCAGATTTTGAAAAGATCTCTAATACACACAAAAACTAACTTAGGGAATTTTTATATCCATTGATTAAGGTCGAGTGTTAATTCAGATAATATCCGGAAACAACTATTAAAAACTTGATATTCTGTATGATTTAAGGACTTTGAATTTGTTAAAACAATTTCTTCTCTAAATCACATGGACGGGTTTATTCATTAGACAGTATTAAATGAATGCCAAAGCCAGGTCATAATATTTATGAATATATGACCTTGTCTTTTCATCTTCTTAAATTAAAATCAATAGGGGTCTTCTTAAGTCATGTAATTGATGCGTTATGATAAAAAATATCTTTGCAAAAGCATAAAGACTTTTTTTTTTTACTTTTACTTTTCATCCATATATGAACTTGTGACCTAGACCATTCATCTTTGGTCTCAAAATTAATAAAGGTCTTTCTTATTTAGAGGGAATCCTCACTTTATTTTTCATTGCAAATCTAAAAAAAAAAACAAAACAGAAGTCTGACAAGACTGTAGTTCTACTGGTTTATACTTATAACGAAGGAAGAGAAAAGTAGCACTTGAATTTGAAACTTTTCAACAATAATAAATTTAAAAACAATGATCATTGGTTTGGTCTTTTTCTTTGCAAGATATATTGAAATCAGACCAGAACTGTAGGAGGAGTAGCATTTTGAAAATATTTCAAAGACATTTCTGACTATTCTTAAAAACCATGGCAACACCGTTCATCGAAATTAAAAACCGACATTCAGAATTATGTATGTTAGTGTAGTCTACTTCTTTGCCAAGTTATATTGTCATCAGACCAAAACTTTAGGAGTAGCATTTTGAAAGTATTTCAAAGGCATTTCTATTTTTAGTAACTAGGCATCATCGGTCATTGAAATCAAAAACTGATATACAGAATTATGTATCTTAGTGTAGTCTACTTGTGTGCCAAGTTATATTGCAATCAGACCAAAACTGTAGGAGAAGTAGCATTTTGAAAAATTGTTTACAGACAGACAGACGGACGGACAGACAGCTAGACGGACGACGGACACCTTACTATCGCATAAGCTTTTCTGGTCTTCGACCAGGAGAGCTTAAAAAAAAACTAAATTCTGCAAAACCCGAATTTCATACCCCTTTCCTTTAATCTCAAAATAAGTAGATTCTTTGAGTCACGTGTACATTGTAAGATTTCATTACACGACTTATAGATATATCACCTGGAAATTTAACAGTTACAGAAGGACAGAGGAACGGACGGATAAACAGAAAGGTCCAGATCAATATATCAATCCCATTTCTTTTAGCTCAGAGTGGAACAATTAAATGTTTATTCTATGAAAAGCTTAATTAACAAAAAAAAATAATAATAGATATTTGAGTTAAAAGACATGAGAACAAAAATTCCGACGTCTGCAGCTTTGATCTTACTCAGACACCTACGTGTACATATTGTTTAACAGTGCAGGCCATTTCAGCTTTAGTCCATGGGCGGATCAAGAGGGGAGTCGGGAGGTTGAAGGTTGTCCTCCTTACCCCCGGAAATTGTGGAGTAATTTAATGTATAAAGTAAAGTAACTAAAAATGGCCTTGGATCCCCCTCCCCTAATAGAAACGCAGATCTTTATTAAATTTGTAGGAAAAGTCACAAATACGGAGGTACATTTAGGACACGTAATTATTTTTTTAAGATACCAGGAAAAATTTATCTCGAGAAAACGAGATATTATCTCGTGAAAACGAGATAAAATCTCGAGAAAACGACTTATTATCTCGTCAAAACGACATATTTTCTAGTTAAAACGACGTAATACCTCATGAAAACGACTTATCTCAAGAAAACGACATAATATCTCGTGTAAACGAGACATTATCTCGTGAAAACGAGATATTATCTCGTGAAAACGAGATATCTCGTGAAAACGACTTATTATCTCCACTAGACAAAATGTCGTTTTCACGAGATAATATCCCGTTTTCACGAGCTATTATGTCGTTTTCACGAGATAATAAGTCGTTTTCACGAGATAAATTTTTCCTGGTATCTTAAAAAAAATAATAACGTGTCCTTAATGTACAACGTACATAAGACCGCGGAACATTGGTAATATGCAGCTTACAGTGTACGTCATTTCCATCTGTTAGTGTCAAAACATTTGATGATAGGTAATGAACTGGGGGAGTACCATCCGGCGTCCGCATGAGAAACAAGAGGCCCAGGGGCCACATCGCTCACCTGAGCACTATGGCTAGAAAAAAGCAGAAATCAGTTCAGTCTTGAAAGGTTGAAAAGTTTAAATATAAAAGGGGGGGGGGGTCATGAATTGAACAAATTTGAATCTACATTATCTGAGGATGCTTCCATTTAAATATGACCAATCATGGCTTTGCTGTTCTTGAGTAGAAGATTTTTAAAGATTTAACCTATGTATTCCTATGTAAAACTTTGATCACCCATTGTGGCCCCACCCGACCCCCAGGGGTCATGTTTGAACAAACTTGAATGTACACTAACTAAGAATGCTTCCATATGAATATGAATATGCATATCATGGCTTTGCTGTTCTTAAGAAATAGTTTTTTTTTTAAAGATTTTTACTACGTGTTCCTATGTAAAACTTTGATCACCCATTGTGGCCCCACCCTATCCCCGGGGGTCATGATTTGAACAAATTTAAATGTACACTATCTGAGGATGCTTCCTTGTAAATATGACCAATCATGGCTTTGCTGTTCTTGAGAAGAAGATTTTTAAAGATTTTTTCCTATATATTCCTATGTAAAACTTTGATCGCCCATTGTGGCCCCACCCGACCCCCAGGGGACATGAGTTGAACAAATTTAAATGTACACTATCTGAGGATGCTTCTTGTAAATATGACCAATCATGGCTTTGCTGTTCTTGAGAAGAAGATTTTTAAAGATTTTTCCTATATATTCCTATGTAAAACTTTGATTGCCCATTGTGGCCCCACCCTACCCCTGGGGGTCATGATTTGAACAAACTTGAATCTACACTACCTGAGGATGCTACCATATAAATATGACCAATCATGGCTTTGCTGTTCTTGAGAAGAAGATTTTTAAAGATTTTTTCTTATATATTAATATGTAAAACTTTGATCGCCCATTGTGGCCCCAACCTATCCTCGGGGGTCATGATTTGAACAAACTCGAATCTACACAATCTGAAGATGCTTCCATGTAAATATGATCAATTATGGCTTTGCTGTTCATGAGAAGAAGATTTTTAAAGATTTTTCCTATGTATTCCTATGTAAAACTTTGATCGCCCATTGTGGCCCCACCCGACCCCCGGGGGTCATGATTTGAACAAACTCGAATCTACACTATCTGAAGATGCTTCCATGTAAATATGACCAATTATGGCTTTGCTGTTCTTGAGAAGAAGATTTTTAAAGATTTTTCCTATATATTCCTATGTAAAACTTTGATCGCCCATTGTGGCCCCACCCGACCCCCG